AAGCCTCTGCCCTGTGTTTTCTGCCTCTCACTTCTTGTGTCTCTAGGAGAGGAAGCAAAGGTGAACGTCAAAAATAAAACTAGGATCAAAATGTCACCTATAGTAAAATAAAACCTGAAAGGGGTTTTAACCATTCCCTCCCAAAGGATTGTAGCTAAAGATACACTTTAATGCTTTATGCTTTGTACCTTAGTCTATGTTACAGTAAAATTAAATGTAATGACATGGCTGCATATAGTTAATGTTTGTCATATCAACACTGCATAGCTTATTAAAAGTTAAGCAGTGGCTACACACATCTTGTATACATGAAAGAAGCTTTGGCATATAAAAACTGACTTGCCCTTAAGGAAATGCATTTAAACCAATATTGATTGTGATGTGTCAAATGTCATACATGACCTTATATATGAACAATGCTCTCTCCTATCTCCATCAGTTCACACTCTTAACCAATTTTCCTGAATTAACTGTACTCAGTTATCAGGATGAAGCAATCATTGCTGGTAACATTTTCTATTATAGTCATATCTTAAACCCTTAGGTCCCATTCACACCTAGGCGTTTCGTTGCACGTATTTCTCAGCAGTGAAACGCTCAAGACAAGAAATCCTATTTATTTCTATAGCCCTCATTCACATCTAAGCGTAGAGTCAGGTGTAAAAAAAAATGCATGAAATCCCGCGATCGTACGATTATCGCAAGGTGTGTGGAAGGCGTGCGACCTCTGCTACTGTAAGGTCACACGACTTTTATCTTAGGAACATGTTCAAAAACCCGCCGAGAATCGTACAATTGTCGGCGGGTGTGTGGCATGTTCATAAGATAAATGCTGCACGGGCCGGTGTGCGCAAGTTCAGCCCGTTCAGCATTACGGTCATCGGAAGCCCGCCCCTCAGCGGGGCGGGCTTGCGATTATCGCAAGTACGATCTGCCTGTCCAAGATGGGCAGATTGTACGTTTTTTTAATTACCTTACAACCCTTGAAGCCAAATTCCAATGTATTATTTTTTTTTATAAATAACCGGGGGGGTCCAGTGGGGAAAAAGGGCTGTAAGTCATTTTGGTGTCACCCCTCCAATGGTGTCACCCGGTTGCGGGCCGCACACCCCTTGTGACGCCACTGCTTCTGGAAACGCATTTCAAACACACTTAGGTGTGGATGGGGGTTTAGAGCTCGTACCGAACTGTGTTTTCTTTCCCACTTTTTGATGTTTACCATCTGGACTGACAAAGTCAACTCTTTATCAAATAATGCTGCCTATACACGTATAAGTCAATCCAGCAAATTACATCCACGTTTAGATACAGCAAAAAAAAAAAAAAAGATTGGGTGGCTATTGCTTGTGTGTCCAGACCTTCTATCTGAATATTCTAAACCTGTAACTTCCTAATTGTGAGAGTGAAAGGAAATCAACACACAGTGACTACATAAACAAGATGTGAGCATGCTGCCCAACTGATAACTAAGACCCCATTCACATTGAGCGTTTTGTAGCGCGATTTCCGCTCAAAAATCACTCAAATATGAAGCTCAATGTAGCTCTTCCAATGCATTTCAATGGAGATGTTCACATCTTGCAGCTCAATGTTGCTTGTAGCTGAAGCTTGTTGCTTGAACATGAGCTATTTTTTGGTGGATTTCGAGCGAATTGGCCCCAATAGACTGATAGACTGCCAAAAGAAGCGCTACGTAGCGTGACAAAATGTACACTGTAGTTCAATGTCGCTCAAAGTCGATCAGCTCAAATCAGCGCTACAAAAGTGTGTAGTTCAGTGTGAATGGTCTAAGATAACATCCAATACACAGCTGACAGCACAGATGATTTGATTGGCAAATTAATTCTGAAATGATGGACACCTATTTCTGATTATATGCTGCAGTAAAATGTGATAATAAGCCTAATATACAATAACTGTGGAAAGTGCACGTTAAGCATTTACCTACCTTCATTAAGACAGACTCTGAAAGCTTTTCTCGGTTTACAATCTTTATTGCCACTTTCTGTCCCGTTATGCAGTGTATGCCTAGTTTAACCAAACCTGTAAAGATAGAGGACATAGAGAAAATTAAGAACAGAATGTCTGGAAACTAATTATGCACAAGAGTTACTGCATTGTCCTTGTGGTCAGAAGACATTAACGTATGCTAAGAATTCAATACACAAAAAATCTCATATAAGCTTTAACACGTTGATGTAATTTAAAAAGAAAATGACAACTTTTTAAAATCTGTAACTTTGATTAAAACATTACCTGGCGAGTCCTTGTTCAGGCACTTACTGCTACAGGGTGACAACGTCCCATCCCTATCAACCAATTATGCTCCTGCCCTGTCATACAAGCTTCCAATGAAAATTACAGGTGGCTTTTTAAACATGATAAGGTGCCCATACACTGCTCGATTCTCGTACGAGAATCGCGGGAAATCCCGCGATCGTACGAGAATCGAGCAGTGTGAACGGAGACGTGCGACCATTTCTACTGTAAGGTCGCACGTCTTCCGTCGAACCAGCATGTTCGAAAACCAGCCGGGAATCGTACGATTCTCGGCTGGTTAGAACGGTGCTCGGAAGACAAATGCCGAACGGGCCGGTGTGCGCACGCGCACACTGCCCGTTCAGCATTGCGGTCATCGGAAGCCCGCCCCTCAGGGGGGCAGGCTTGCGATGATCGAGAGTGCAATCTGCCTGTCCAAGATAGGCAGATCGTACTTTTTTTAAATCCCTGTACAACCATCGCAAGACTAAGGTCTTGCGATGGTTGTACAGTGTATGGCCACCTTTACACAGACATGGTACACTGTTGTCACCATTAGGAAACCCGCCCTAAGAAATGTCATGCAGCTGTTATTGGAGTATATACATGTAGATAGGAAGTGGCTACAGGATATCAGCAGCCATGAGATGCAAAGAAGGATGAAAAAAGTGAAAACAAGTATTTTATGAAAGTTAGATTCACATACAGTATATATATCCATAGATGTATACAGGGGTGGACTGACCATTCCTGGCAGTCGGGCACTGCCCGAGGGCCCGTGGCCAGTATGGGGCCCTTGGCCCCCTGCTCCCCCATTACAAATTGCCTTTTCTTTGCTCCGCGCGCGGCCTGCTGGGATCGGCAGTCTTTCCAGCATTCTGGGCCGAGTCACAGTGGGCAGACTGATGGCGGGAGCCGCGGGACGGGACACAGAGGAAATCTGGGCCGTGGAGAGGAAGGCTATGGAGAGGGAGGTGCGGAGTGGTGGGGACCCCAAACTCTCCAGAAGGAAGGACAGTGTCAGGACCAATTCAGAGATGATTGGAGGATCTATAGCCGAGTGATACACAAATAGAATACAGTTTGGTCAAGAGTTTAGGTACTTGAATGTATTTGTAAGGTTTATCTCCTGGGTTTAGTGTCACTTTAATGCAGATATGCTGACTGGTCATTTATATGTAGGGCAAAAATCCTTGCGCTGGCCCTGCTGCACCCCCCAATAGTGCCCATTTAATGGTTCTGGTTTGTGACCTGCAGTGCATTGGTCCTGGTCTAAGGTCTAGATTATTCAGTTCCCCTGTCAATTCTCTTACTAGTTCTCTGGAAATGTACCCAGGATAATTGGCAGAACTGAAGAATCTAGGTCAAAATAGCTTTCCAAATCACTATATTGGTCTAGATTTTTAATTCTCCTACCAATTCCCCAGCAATGAAGTTCAACTTTCAGTGAATAGACCTGTTATTTTGAAAATATTGTGGAGAACTAATTCTGTAACACAACAATGTATATGTGGGTGGAGCTTGTGGGTGGGTGGGGCTTGTATATGGGGGCCCCATAATCATATTTTGCCCGGGGGCCCCATGTGTTGTCAGTCCGCCCCTGGATATAGAGATATATATACTGTATTTGTGTGTGACTCACACATGTTAACACTCTTTGCAGTAAGATAGCTCATTCATTTTGAATTGGCTGCCAATGCACAAGAGCTCACATCAACATACAGAAGGCTTACATCTGTGTGTTGTGGTATATGCAGGTCAGTTGTGGTGCATTGGAAATAAGTGTTGGGTACCACAACGCAGTTTGCACTTTATTATGACACAAATATGTGAATCCCTCCTAAAAAAAGGCTGTTGTTTAAAATAAAGAGTACTTTAGCAAAATGAATGTCATTCAGTTAAGGTTTTCATGTACAATACAAATGTATGAAAAATCTGGTTCAGGCCACGTAACACAGCTCCAAAGCTTATACCTGTTATGGCTGCCATAGTGGCACACGGAGATCTCCCTGCCAAAGATCTTAAACCACAATAGAAAAAAGGCCGGTCCTGCCCCAACCAAATAAATAGACGCTTTTCCTGCTTGAGTGACAGGCCCATATAACTACAACACACAGCATCTTAAAGTGATATTAAAGTTAAAATGTTTTTAAGCTTTTTCAAATGCTGATGAAATAACTTACAATGGGTGCTGCTCCTTGATGCTTAAAATTTTCAGCTTCCTGCAGAATCAGCTGGTCCCCTGAGCACTGGCCCTGCTATCCTGTTTTAGGGTAGCTCCTTTCCCATGCAGGGACCTATGTAGCCACCCCTGTGTATGCTACTAAGTTGTGCATGTCTCCACAAACACAACAAGGCAAGTCACCCCCCCCTCCCCCTGCTCCCATCTCCTACTTCCTCCTTCCTCTAAGCCAATAGATGGACAGCTGCAGACAGCTGCAGGAGACTTTTACTGGACAGGAAGTTCAGGGAAGCAGAGCTGAGAGAGTTGGAGCTGTTCAGAAACATGATGACTATAGAGCGTGCAGCATTTTTTGCGTTTGCAGTGGACAGGAACGCAGGCAATGTTTTACCATGCGTCTGATGTTTTACCATGCGTTTTTCCTGACTTCACTCACAATGGACTAATCACCTATGGTGCCACTATCCCTTTATTTATTTATTTATTTATTTTTTCAGTGGCTACACATGTGAAAGTCTTTAGTTTAATGTAATTGATCTTATAAATGTTAAAACTAAACTCCAAGATTAGAAAATAGTATCTAAATACAAGAGGCATGTGTATTCCTTCTTTAATATTAGTGAGCTTTGTGTATTTCTTCCAGATCTGTGCAGTAATTCAGTATGAAAGTTTGTTCTGTGTTGGAGCTTCCTGTAATAAATAATAGTCACTGCTAATCTTCCTTCTTGTGCAGGGTGACTAGGCTTGTCTCCACCCCCTCCTGCAGGTTTTTGCTATCAGCCAGTAGTGGGTGGGGCCTGCTGGATCCCTGCCAAAGCTCTGCTCTCCTCACAGGCTATATGCAGCACAGTGATGATGTCACTGCTACATGTACAAGGTAATATTTGGGCTTGCAAAGGCATTTGGTGCGCACAAAGTGAATTTGTATCCCTTGTGGCTAATGAGGAATTTATTTAATTGAAAGTGTCTGTGTCCAGAGTTCATGTAAACCCTATAGCAAAGATCTCATCATTTTAAATGTGTAAATGTAAAAGTCATATCTTAACTTTTTAAATCAGTAGCTTTTATTAAAAGAATACCTTGTGATCCTGCCATGAATATCCTTGTTCTGCACTTCTAGTTATAAGGTAACAATGCACTGCCCCTGTCCCCTAATTGTGTTGCTGCGTTGTCACCCTCTCACGTGTACTTAAGGTGGAGCATATAAACAGCAATTCAGATACACATAATCCTCTGTTGTCACTGTGACAAAATACAGCCAACAATGGAGTACATGCACGGCCGGATTTTCCACAGGGCCACCAAGGTCCAGCTTTGGGGCGGCAGGGAGCAGAGGGGTGTGGAAACTCCCTTCCCCCAGGACATGCAGTTCCGGGCTCCAGGTGGGTAGTTGTTTTCAACATTTAGCCCTGCTTTGGGCAAGCAGGGCTAAATGCAGAGCAGGAAAGCCACTCGTTCGTTTACAAGTGATCTCGGAGATGTTGCTTAGACCACTCTTATGCAGCCTGCAAGTCCATCCTTCCCAGCACCC